ACTGAAGAGTTTTCCCTTCTGACAGGTTAGATTTCTCTCATATCTACTTTTATACTTTCTGCGTAAGAGAGATTGGTGCCTGTGATTCACGTAACGGCACTGTGACCTTGTTATTCTACAGCTTTTTCTTCTAGAACTGACTGATACAGATTGAAACTAAGGCAGGCTGCCTTGAAATGAACAAACTTGCCCTATAACGCGCATGATTCTTATCTGCGAATCTAATTTACTACAGGATTGCTAGGCTAACATTACATATGTATGCATATAAAAATACTACCCAACGTGCACATATAAACATACACATGGCGTAACTGGCGCAGCTCATTGTGTATCAATTTTTGGTCGGCACCCTCGAAACGTACATTCCTTTGATAACCTGGGGGTGAGAGTGCATTTTTGAACTAAATGTTACGTGATGGACGCTCAGTAACACGGTGAATTTCTAGTCGAACAGTCGGCTAGACTTCGTTCTTCTAGATGGGAAGCAAGATGTGTAGTCAAGGAATACCTTGGGTGTGACTGATATTCTCGCTATATCGAGGTGACACTATTTTCGAATAGGTGTGTGCTGTGCCACTTCGTGCAGGTTGGTGAAATTCCTTATTTGATCCAGTCTCCATTAAGTCCGTCCTCCAATCCATCTGGAGACTTCGGCAGCAGGGTATGCATTTACGTGTTATTCCGTACATGGTACGGCAAAAGTCACTGCCGTCATTAAATCCAACCGGACCCACATGCATAGAGCAGCGCAAGAGAAATGTCTGAGTCCGAGGTCAAACGAGCGGAGCACGGAGTTACAAAAGAGGACACCGACTGACCATTCAAATTAATGGATTTCTGGTCAGCGAAGTCATGGTTGAAAACTTGAGCGTTCGCCTACTTTTACCGAGAGGTGAGTTTCGATTGTTCTCTTGGGTGTTTTGCCGGATTTAAATTCTGTTTTCCAGCTCATAATTTATGCCATGCTAATGATACTGCGAGCTCAAGCACCATGTATTGATTATGCTGGCGGCTTTATCTGCAGTCACTTTCCTATTTCAGATGCTATTTTTTCACACGAATGTATGTTGAAATTCTGTCTAAAAAGTGAAATTCTGTTTTAATCACCTAGTGTGGATCTTCGTTCGAACTACTTGTTCAACTCCCGCATTGCCGGTATTGAGGAGGCTGACTTGGTATTGCTTGTTGGCACCAATCCTCGATTCGAGGCTCCTCTACTAAATGCACGGCTTAGGAAATGTTGGATTCACAACGAACTTCAAGTCGCCGTGATCGGACCAAAAGTCGACTTGACTTATGACTATGAGGTACGCGGATACCTTTGATACATTTCCCCTTTCGAATTGCAACTAATCTTGTTCCCAGTCATTCGTATCTGGGATCTCTATTTATCCATTTCTCGCTTGCAATTGTTATCCAGTAAAAGGATAACGTAGATTAGGACTCATGGCTACTGTCTTTTGAAGGACAAATGAATTTAGGATGTTATTTTGAGTAACGATCGCCTGCGTTCAATAGTCTCTGTTCTCCGGTGATTTATGCAATGATCGGCAACGACGAATGACCCTCAGAGCTTTTTGTTCGCAAAGAGTAGATAACTTGTTCAGAATTATTTACAGTGTCACTTATGCTCACTAGCTGATAAGTCTTGACTACTTAACTACCCAAACCCTCCTGCCTGCACCAGCATTTATTCCCACAGAGGACACCCGAACGGTTTCATCGAATTCTTTGTATTTAACGAGGCGTTCACTGGTAACTTTTTGTCAGATCGAGAAATGTTTAGCATAGCCAATGAGGCCTTTATTGTGCCTCATTGTTTGTGTCTAAAAAACTAGCCAGTTTAGCCTTTAGTTGGCTGGGTACATTGTGAACCACAGGAATGCGCGCCCTATTTTCAAACCTTCAGGAACTAACTGGCGGTGCAGTTTAGTGCGTTTTGTCACCCACCAATGTTACAACATCCATCCATTTGTTAATGCCATGGCGTTGAAGTGGCTGGCATTGTTCTAACCAGGTGTTAGCCCAACAGCTAGTTGTAAATACTACGGTTTTCTCGTGAATAATCATGCTTCCCTAATTCATCGTTATGGGTTATGGTGGGGCGCATTTTGATTCCATGAAAGTCCATTGCTTCCGGTAGAGGTAGATGCGGTTAGTCCGATGTGGCGAATTTATGGTTCTTTTAATTTTATCCGTTTCCTAGACAAGCGCTGTCCTTTTGGGTGCTCTTAAATCTAGAATACATCGAGTACGCAGACGACATAGCTC